ATGTATCGAATTTTTTTACCGAATCTTTTACCTACTACTCACAACGAGGATGGGGACCACATTGTCGAAATTTTTAAATACACGCGGGCCCCGCTCATTATGTACAAATGGATTAACCCTAAACAAGAATAGACAGTATCAATATTTAGAAATATTTTTTTTTTCTTTTTTACTTCTAAAATATTAAAATAACATTATTACGCACATATTAATTTAACAAAATAGAAAATTTATTCACTAACCATTTTTCAATATTTTTTATTTAATTCTTTTGGATATGTGTAGAATAGCTCATGCATTGCATCAGGTGCAATTAAATATAATTAATTTTATAATATTAATAAAACAATTATTTTTACTTTCGGTGCTCTTTAGATGCAAATGAAATTCTAAAGTTTGCCAATCCTTTCACTTCTAACATATCACCACCACTAAATTCAAGAAAGTGCTTAAAATTTTAAGTCATTTTCAAATTTTATATTTTTATGTCGATTCAGTACGTTCTTTTTCATCTTGTGTCTAAAGCGTACAAAAAATATCAATTCAATCTTGATTGATCAGTAAAGCTTATAGTAAAAGGAACAGAATTTTGATCGCTTTATAGTTTATCAAATTGTTTACTGTTTGGTAAAGACGCCACGCCACATATTGACTATACTGTTTTTTTTTTTTTTTTTTAAATAAATACTAAAAAAGGACACAAACTAACTTGGATTTTCATGGCAATGCACATCAATTTTGTGCATCCTCATTTACTGCATATCAGCATGTTGATTGTTGAAGGGTCAAAAATTGCAAGACGTCTTCTTGGAATATTCCTTGCACCAATAGGGTTGATGCCTTTTTTTTTTTTTTGCCCTTTTCTCATCTTTACTTATGGAAACGAACGGGCATGTGCAAATTCTTATAACTCAAATTCGTCCTGTCCTTTTTCTTCTTTTGATCTAAACAAATAGAAAAAATGAGTTTTTGACTCTAAATAAACCTTTTATGCCCAACACGATTGCTTCAATTGCATCGTATTTCAAAACTTGACGTTAGAAAATATACAAAAAAGAAGGAACTCAAATGCGTTTATAGTATATTTTGTTGAGATAATTAGATAGTAGTAGATTGTATTAAACATGAGAAGAGACTACAATTTTCTTTAAGACATATACTGTGCAATATTCTACAATATTAAAAACCAAACATAAGTTTATAGTTTCCTTTGAAAATGAAAATTTACCCGTGTTGGAAAATTTTCTTGGCTTGAAAGTCGTATCTTAGAAGTTAATTTTCTTGTAAACTCTTAGGGCTTAGATTGCAATTGAACACAAAAACAATACGAAGTTCTTGAGAGTATATCTAACATGTAACATTGAGGGGTTACTCAATTGATCAGGCCTTGAATTTTCTCTCCAATGGTCACCCGTTCGAGTCCCCTCAGAACCACTGAGGTGAGTATCCGATCGTAAACTTCAAGACCCCGTGAGATTAGTCGAAGTGCGCGCAAGCTGATCCGTACATTCACGGTTATAAAAAAAAAAAGAGTATATATAACACATAGTAAAATATTTCAATAATCACTGAACTTTATACATGGTTATAACTTACTCGTTGAACATCAAGATACTTCCAAATAGTCACTAGCTTGCTCATTGAACTTCAAGATGCTTTCAAATAGTCGCTGAACTTTCAAACTTTGCACCACATCCATCACTGACCAAATTTCGTTTCCATCAATGCTGACTTGTTTAACGGAAAACACACGTCTAAGGTGGCAACAAATTAAAATGTGACAAATCAGATGACCCAATCCAGATTAGCTCAACTACATACCAATAGGCACCAAGGTCGACGTGTAGATATAGTAAGACGTCGGTTAACTTACTCAATATGGGCCACTAATTAGCCCCTGTTTGCCCCCCATTAATTTAAATTTTTGGGGTAGATAATTTTTAGAATAGTGATTGATGAGAGATGTGTGGTTGAAAAGTTTTAGATTTGTGTGTATTATTATTTTATTTGATGAATGTATGGTTGAGATGAAGAGAGAAAAAAATTTAATGTAATGTAATGAATTATTAATGTAATATGCATTTTATTGTTTAAAATA